GTTTAGTGGGAGGAAGGGAACACACAGAAGTACACGTATTTCCAAATTCCGAATATCCAAATGGAACTGTTGGTAATGCAAATTTTGAAATTTACGGTCTTTAAGAAATAAATATGTTTCTTCTGTTCCAGGAGAGCTATTTTGAAGGGGCTTTTTTTTTTTTTAGAAGACCCACATAGTTTGTTTAATATTCCATAAACTTTTAGAGATGGAAAACTAATTTCTCAAAGTTATCCTTCTAAGAATTTTGTAGATTTACTTACAGTTGTACTTAGAGACCAATAATGTATTTATGATGTCAGCTTTCATAAATGCCCTTGACAGGAAAACATAATTCATTCAAGTAACTACCTCTGCATTCCATTGTATTCGGCTTATAGATCTGGTGAGTGGGAATGGATTCATTCACACATTCAGGACTCCTCCAGGTTCCTGCACAAAAGCTGTGCCAAATGTCTGCCTACGGGCTCAGAGGAACCCAGTCCTGTGACTTGCAAGTAGAGCCAGGCGGAGGTGCGAGGCATGTAAGCTGACAGTGAAGCAAGCAAGTATAACAAGGCCTCAGGACAGTGCCTGGCAAAGAGTACACGCCTAGAATATGATAGGTATTATTTTATTATTAATCTTACTCTTTTGACTCAGAAATGAGTTCTTAGAAGTAAAGCACCCAGGGTCCTTTGGAGGCTAGCATGCAAGGTCTTTGCCTGTTGTGAACCTGGTTGTACTGGTTCAGAGAAATGTAGCTGATGCCAGCTCCAGAGTTGGATGTACAATTTCTTGTTTGAAGTTAAAAGCCCGTGACTGGAAGTAGGTATTTTTTGTCCCCTCTCAATATCTATTTATATTTTTGAACAAGAATACAATATTGTTAAATGACATAAAAACAAAGAAAAAAATGCACCATTTTGATGTAACCATTCTGTTAATGTTTTATTCCTTCCCCTTCTGTGACTGAATATTTCCAATTTGCTATCAAAGAAATGTATAAGCCTACTTAGCAGAGGCTCAGAAGTTTATTGTGTATGCTACTTCTACCAGTTGTGTGTTTGCTTTGGAAATTCAGCAGTCGGTTCCTCTTCTTTTCCTTCAACACTCTTCTCTGATACTTAACTCAAGATTGTGGTTGAGCCATTGAACCATGGGAAATTCATTTTCAAAATCTGCTTAATTGCTGTGAGACTTTTAATTTGTTCTGGATGATGGTGCTAATGTCTGGGAACTGGGACTGAAGCCCTCCAAAGTTGTTAATTTAATCAACCGCTGTGCCCTTGCCATGCCTAATGAAGCGGGGGAGGGAGGGCACCAGACCACTCTCACAAAGAGGCTGGGTCCCTCCTGACCACCTTGTCAAAGATAAATAAGAGGGGCCCCACGGTTAGGTTGAACACTTGGGGCAAATTACCAGAGTGTCAGCTCACGTTATCCAAAGCTCAGGGTTGTGCTTCCCAAAATAATTACTGAGTAGGTTTTATGTAGGACCCCGGAGTTTTAAGGCATGGGTTTTGTGTGCATGTGTTCACACCTGCTAATCTGCAGAATTCCTTAGTCAGTTTGGGGTTCTGTTGTGGTTTTGTCCATAATCTGTAAGATCATAAACATCACCCCCAGACTATTGATGTTCCCGTTAACCACTGAACTTTTCCATGGTGAGACTGGTGAAAGATTGCTCTGTCCTCATGATAAATTAGCTTGTTTATTCCTCTTCTGCTTATTTCTATCCTGCTGTTGGTTAGTGTAATGAAGCAGAAGTCCATTGTATGTGTTCATTGGGTAGCGATCCTCTGGCACCAAAGGGGGTAATTGAGTAGAAAGGCGGAATGCTGTTGGTGCATGGGAGAAGTTAACACCACATGAGGTCACCAGGCTTCAAGCTTTAATCAATGTGGACACAATGCAATTGAGACTGTGAAAAGGGTTTGTTTATAGTGTGAGAGTAAGGGTCAGTAGTTAATTTGAAATGCTGTAGGTGTGTTTTCCTTGAACCAAGAAGGTACAGAGCATGTGTCATAGCGGATTGTAAATATCCTCAAGGGAGGGACGTAATTGGGGTGGGGATTTAAAAAGAAGGGCATTTAAGAACTTCAGTGTACTTCTTATTGCTCCATCCATGTTTTATTTAAGTTTTTGCCATTTTTTAAAATAAAGAAACATACTGTTTCTTCTATAGTCTCTTTTAAGAGACTGTAGAAGAAACAGCTTGTATACATGGTATACAAGCACAGCCCTACCAATGAAGAACTTTGTTTTTTTCTGCAGTGATTTCCTTTGGGAAGATATTTGGAGCACTATCAAATATTGCTAATAGGAGTCCTGTGTGCTAATTCTGAAAGAATGCTCACTCTCAGAAGTTTATATCTTTAGGATTTGTCATTGTTGTGGCTTGAATGAAATAATATGAAAACCATTAACCCTATACCTGTTCATCCTGCTACCTTTTTCCATCTTAGGGCTCCAGTCTCTAAAATGTGCCTGTCTGCTTTTTGGATTATTTTTAGCATTTTCTCCCATTATTTCCTAAGTTTCAACAGCTAGAAACACCAACTTCAGCCAATTTGAATGTAGAGAGGGCCTGCCCTTTTGCTACAGAGAAACGTGGCAAACAAACATCTGGTTTTCTGAAATGATTGCAGGGAAAAGAACATGAGGGTTATGGAGGTGACAGAGGCCTGCCAGGAACCCTCCCATGCTTTGTTTTGTGTTTGGTAAATCTAGGTAATGCATTGATATGCCTGATGCCTCACATTTGTATAGCGCTTTTATCATCCTTAAAGGCACGTTAGTAGAAATCATCTTATTTGATCTCCCCAACAACACTCTAAGATAGGCCAGTCTACTAGGCATATTTATATTTTAAGGTTATAAAAACTGAGATGGGGAATAACTGTTTGTGGTATGTTTTGTCTGGCAATGCAGTAGCTGTTTGTGGAGGGAAGAACTCTGGGGATTTGAATAATAATTGCATTATGATAGGCTGAAGAACAAGAAAAAAGAGTAGTTTAAAAAATATATGAATTATTTGTGATAGAAATCACTGTATATTAGCCAAGCATTACTTTTTGAGCTCTCTTCCAGGACAAGAAAATGCCAGCTGTGGTCTATCTTCTTCACCTTCCTCTGCCTAGCAAGCCGCTCCCATAACAGTTTTTGAATATCTCTTTACATATTTAGTCAACATATTTTAGCCTGCTGAGGATGTCCAGTTGTTTTTCTCTTTCTCTGGGCAGAATCTGGGTCTTTAGAACCCTGGGGTAAATCTTAAAGGAGGAGCCAGTGCCTAGGGGATGAGAGTGAAACTAATTTACTAGGTTTCATTAGTGAATGATGCTATGGTTGCCCACTTTATTAATTCTTCGGTGTTGTGCCTTTCTACTTATTTAAGCCATGCTAATAAACATGCATTGAAAGTTCATTTTTAGTGTCAGTATGATAACTTCTAGTATGGCTATAATAATTAAATTGCTCAATCTATTGTTGGACATTTAGAATTATTCTAGTTTGGGGTTATTATAAACAATACTGGAGAAAGCTTCTTTGTATTTAAATTCTTATTTATGTCCTTTATTATTTCCTTAGTAAATTCACTTCTGTGAATTTAACTTAGGTAAAATGAAATGCACATTTTTAAGGATTTTGATGGTGAGTGATAATCATATCACCCAGTAGCCAAATCTGGGAATGTCTGTCTCTTTGCATGTTAGCCAGTACTGGTGATTACTTTTATTTAAAAAATGTTTCCCAATGTGCCAGGATATCTTATTCTTTTAATTTACATTTCTTTGATTGACAGTAATGGTAAACCTCTTTTCATGTGCTTACTGGCAACATACTGACTTGCCTTGTTGTTTCTTTCTCTTAATATACTATTTTCAAAGTTGGATCATCCCAGTAATACAACTTCTTGGAGATTAGGAAAAGAAGGAAGATTTATTGGGGAGAAGGATTGGTGTTTTCTGGCTACCCAGTATTTCGCCTATTTGTTTTGACAGCAGGATCTGCCTGAATCTTCTTTGTGGAACATTTTCTTCCCCACTCTCAGTCCATGTGGCTTAAGAGAATCTTCACTTCTGATTCTAGTGATGGACATATGACCAAGCTAAGCACTAGCCACAGTGGATTCATGCCTCAAGTTAGTCAATTGGAGTGAATTCTGAGATTTGTGTGGAGGTTACCAGGAAGAGATATCCTCTCTGGTTCTTACTGAATTTGAACTCACAGAATATAAGCCTGGAATTGCTGAGGTCTTTCCAATGAAGCCTGAGAATGAAGCTAATAAAATATAGGGTGGAATTCAGTGACTGTAGAGAAGTGAGATCTGTTGACATCATTTGATTTATCAAAACAACCACTAGAAGACAGCTTTATCTCTAGATATTTTTCAGTATCACCTTACTAATTGATTGGTTAATTTAATTTAGTTTTGACGAAGTATCTTTGAGCAAGGTTTCCTGTCTCTTACAATCAAAGAAACTGATGCCCTTGTTAGGCCTTCAGTTTAAAAATAAGTTGGTGGAGGCCGGGCGCGGTGGCTCAAGCCTGTAATCCCAGCACTTTGGGAGGCCGAGGCGGGTGGATCACGAGGTCAAGAGATCAAGACCATCCTGGTCAACATGGTGAAACCCCGTCTCTACTAAAACTACAAAAAATTAGCTGGGCATGGTGGCACGTGCCTGTAGTCCCAGCTACTCAGGAGGCTGAGGCAGGAGAATTGCCTGAACCCGGGAGGCGGAGGTTGTGGTGAGCCGAGATCGCACCATTGCACTCCAGCCTGGGCAACAAGAGCGAAACTCCGTCTCAAAAAAAAAAAAAAAGTAGTCCCAGCACTTTGGGAGGCCGAGGTGGGTGAATCACCTGAGCTCTAGAGCTTGAGAGCAGCCTACCCAACATGGCGAAACCCTGTCTCTATTTAAAAATACAAAAATTAGCCTCGTGTGGTTTCATGTGCCTGTATTCCCAGCAACTCGGGAGGCTGAGGCAGAAGAACCACTTGACCCCAGGACGTAGAGGTTGCAGTGAGCCGAGATCACACCACTGCACTCCAGCCTGGGCGATAGAGCAAGAATCCATCTCAGAAAAAAAGGAGTAAGTTGGTGGAGGCCACTGCTGCATTGCAGAGAATGTATTTGGAGGGTTTGCTTGTTTTGATGACATAAGTTCTCTGTAACAATTAAAGAATAAAATAAGTTATGGAACCAACCTGTGTTAGGCAGCTCCTCTAACTAAAGCAATATTGGAAATGGAGTGTGTGTGTGCGTGTGTGTGTGTGTGTGTTCAGAGATCACTGTTGAGCACCAAGTAGCTGGTGAAGATCATTAGTGACAATTCCTGGAACTTGGCCAGGCTGCTGGCTTTGAAGCAAAGCTCATTGCAACACGTGTTCCTGCTGGGCTGGATGTCTGTGTGAAATGGATGGCAACAGGATGTTCTGGCAGCTGAAATGAAGATCCTGAAGGCAGAAGAGAAGCTTTAATGACTGCCCAAGCAGAGCAGTAGTTCTGGGGATGGTTGGGAAATTCAGTAGATGTTATGGTGACTCAAGGTTCTTTGGGACATCTAGGAGGCTGTGAGGCAGACCAAGCAATGAGGAGCACAAGTTGCTACAAGTCCTGAACTAGGTTAGCCATGGGCTACAGAAGGAGCAAACACATGGATTTTGCCCTCCAGCAACTTAAATTTGATTGGGAAAACAAGATCCATAAAATAAGACAGTTTGTTGTTAAGGGCTAAGTTAGGTGAAAAAGACTGAGTTCTAGGCATTTTTTAGATCAGATTTTTTTTTTTATAATGGGGATTGGTATGGGCCTTTGAAGTATGGAATGATCACCTGAAACACAGCTTGATGTGTGTAATCCAAGTCAAGATTCATCTCACTCAAAGTGCTAAATAATTAGCTTAATACAGAAAGCCATAAGCAGAGTATCAAGAGATCTGGCTCTAGCCCCATTTGTCTCCTTAGGTATATCATTGAATCCCTCATGCTTCCTCTTGTCTTTCTAAATCGACCTGTTAAGGCTGTCTCTTGGCAAATAAAAACAGAGGCATGTCTTTCCTCATAGCCAAATATGGTTGGGCTTTTCCATCCATTTCTTTTCTTCCTTATTAAAGGCGCTAAAATAAATTTTCAGAGATGTTAGGTCACCTATGATTAGAAATTTATTTTAGATGATGATTAAGGTATTTCTTAGCGCTCAGCTAAATTCTGAAGAATACAAAGAGGCACAAGAGATGAGAATCTGTTCATTTGTGTTGTTATTGAAATAAAACACTGGATGTGAAATCTGTGAACTGAGATCTCAGTAGGGTAATCTACCACTTGCCAGCTACTAGACCTAGGTGTGCTTCTACTGCTTGTAACCTACTATAGATCTGAAGGCTTAAATAAAATAATTATATGAAGGCATTTATCTTTTGGACTACACAAAAAAAACAGATAAGGTGGATCTATTTAGCTGAGTAGACAGGCATGTCATATATAAAAATTAGTAAAATAGAGTAGTATAAGATGAAAATATTAGGTAATTTTTTTTTTTTTTTGAGATGGAGTTTCACTCTTGTTACCCAGGCTGGAGTGCAATGGCCCGATCTCGGCTCACCGCAACCTCCGCCTCCTGGGTTCAGGCAATTCTCCTGCCTCAGCCTCCTGAGTAGCTGGGATTACAGGCACGTGCCACCATGCCCAGCTGAATTTTTGTATTTTTTAGTAGAGACGGGGTTTCACCATGTTGACCAGGATGGTCTCGATCTCTTGACCTCGTGATCCACGCGCCTCGGCCTCCCAAAGTGCTGGGATTACAGGCGTGAGCCACCGCGCCCGGCCTTATTAGGTAATATTATTCGAGTACTTAGTATGCACCAGGCAATGTATTAAGTATTTTATATGCATTATGTCAACCCTGATCTCGTAGTGTTGGAACTAAAATCTTCATCTAAGTTGCTATTTTTATGTTTAAACGTCTAGAGAAACTGAAGGATTCTTAAAAAGCACTGATTTGGACCTCCTTCCTTGTTAGTTGTATTTTCTTTTAAAACACTCTTTTCTAAAAGTAATGGAATTTGGGGGATAAAACCTGGAGGTGGCTGTAAATTGACCAGAAGGTTTACAAGTACCCATAAGGACTGGCACTGTGTTAGACACTGTGGGCAAATGCATTCAGCTCTGGGCCTCCATCTGTATTTCCCTTTGTGAACTCTTTTGCTGAATGTCCCATCATCCTTTGTCGAGATGAGGTCCTGTTCATCCTGTCTGCTTTCACGACATAAATGTTTTAGGAACTCTCCACAGACTGGCTGGATTGTCTGTTTGGGCTGAGAACAGATTGTGTGGGTGATGAGACAAGTAGGAAAAGACTCAGCGATCAAAAAAGGGGGAAGGAAAGCTCTTTCTGTTTCTCTTAGAATGGAGCTTGGATACAAAGGGCACTTCGTTAATCATGCCTCCTTTGTAATCAGAATGGTGGAGGCATTTTTTTAAACCACTACTATTTTGTCCTCTGTCTCATCCAAGTTAAACCAACTGTGCAATAGCTAATCGAGGGGTTAAAAATTTCCCAGATGCAGCCAGGCAGAATCAACTTCAGTAGATAAAGGAATCGTTTGATGGTGATTCGAAAGCCGTCAGGTGTAGCGCCAGGCTTCTTGCAGACATGGCACTGGTCTGGTAGGATACTCATGTCCGGGATCTTCGTGGTGGCAGATTTGTGATTAGATGATGGAAAGCTCATGTGGGGTGAATTTGGGAAGATATCTGTAAGACTTAGGGGTTTTGGTAAGTTTAGAGAATTCAGTCACTTTGCACTGTGTCCCTAGAACAATCACTGAATGGAAAATCCAGGGATCTCAATTTACTGAACGACCTTGGGCAACTTGTTTAATCTTTCTGTAGTTGCTTTCTTAGAAATCAAAGAAGGATAACAATCTTTGGTGCCCACTTAATGGGTGTTGTATAAAATAATTAGATTGTAAATGCTTTGAGTGCCCTGGAGATGAAGAGATAGGGAAAATTCTCTTAGGTGTTCTTCATGCTGAATATGCAAAAATGAGTAAGTATAGTTTTTGTTGTTTTTTAAGAAAAACCTGTCATTTTTTCAGCACCTCTTTTTTTTTTTCCCCCAAAGGAGGCTGTGTGCCTCAGTAGAGGTTGACTTTGTAACAGTTTTATTTTCCTGGACAGGTCCTGCATATTTACAATGTGGTTGGTTTTCCAAGAGGAATGTTTGGGTTTAGACTTGTCCTATCCATTCACTGAATCTAGGGGTGAGATGTTTTTAATGAATTGTTGGTGTAGAGCAAATAAAGAGCAATGAAACAAAAGGTAGTATTCGTGGTTAGAAAGGGACTAATCAACTATTACTCTAACTATCCCCTAGCTGGATGGTTGCCGATTTTCTTTTTAAAATCAAATGCAGTTTTCAGGCCAAAGCAGCGGGAGGTGGCGGTACATTCCAAGAAAGAGGCATCAGAGCGTCTGAGGGTTGCAAGACAGCAGAAAGCCGCTTGATTCTTGGTGGGGTTTTTTGTTTGTTGTGTTTGTTTCTGATTTTACCCTTACGCCTTATCCCATGATCATCTACTCAGAACAGAGGGAAAACATCCCCCACAAGGTTCCTCCTCCCTTTGGTTTGGTGTCACCTAAATGGCATTTCCTTCCCAGGTGAGATTGTAGTTTACCTCTCCTCTTATACTGATGAGCAGCTGGGGCTTTCTGCCCGGTGGACCTTCCATTTGTCTGTTTACAACAGGGATCCCCAATTTGCTAATTCTCTGGAGAAACAGATTTTGGCTGGGGAGAGGGCCTGGGAATTTGTCCACCCCAGTCTCACCCACACTGGGTCTCCCAACAGAGACGACTTTCCTGTCAGCATCTCCCCATTCTAGCAGCTTGTTGCTCTCTAGACAGCTTGTTTAATGTTTCAATCCAGTTGGAACACACGATGGTTAAATGTTCTTTCTTATCATTCAGTGGAAAACTGGCTTCCATGACCACATTATAATTTCCACTCACTAATGCTGGATTTTCCTTTTAGAATAATCTAGAATGTGTGCTTCACTTTAGTTAGATAGTAGCCTTTCAAATAACTGATGATGACTATCATTTCTCTCCTTTGACTTTCTTCTCCAGTTAAAATACCTCTGGTCTGGTTTAGACTCCTGACCATACTTGCTGTCCCTTTCTGGTGATTGCATTCCCAGTCAAGGTTAAGTTTACCTCTGCTACCATGGCAACCAGCTACTGCTTGTGGTTGCTACTTAAAGGAAACCACCATTTTCTGGTTTTCTGTAGAAAATCCATAATTCAGAAATTAGCTTGTTGCTGTCCCTAGAATAAAGACATCCATACTGCTGATGGTCTGCACAGTACAGACAGCACCACCCTCTACGACAGTCTACATGCTGGACTTGCCGTTTGAACTCATGCAACTTGGGGTAAATGTATTTCTTGTGTATCCCTGTATTAGTTTTTCTCATTCGGGGAAATAATGTGGCCTGAGACAAAGCGAGACTGTGGACCTTGGAGAGATTAGCTTCAAACCCCAGTTCAGACTCTTATTGGCTGTGACCTTGGATGAGTTATTTTCATTTTTCAGGTCTTCATTTTACTCATCTCTGAATGGAGATAATAATAGCTACCACTTACTTGTGTATAAGAATGAAAATTGTCCTGTTAAGTACCTAGCACAATGCCTAGCACATAAAAAATATCCAACAAATATATTTAAAAAATAAATATCCATTATTGTAATTTATAAATGATAGCCTGATGCAGTCAGTGTAGTGTGAGGCAAACTGTAATGGTTATGAATTGTTGAGAGCTTGGAATTTCTGTAGTTGGAAGCTCTGAAAATGAAGTATTGTAGAATGACTTGATGGAGTATGAAATTTTTCTTGTAAGCCTGGGTGATTGGGGTAAAGCAGGGGTTCTCCACCAGAAGCAGTTTTGCCCCCAGGGAACATTCGGCAATGTTTGGAGAAGACTGCCCCTGCCCTGCCCCGGAACTTTCCAGCAGGGGGAAGGGGGAGAAAGATGCTATTGACCGCAGCTGGGTAGAAGGCAAGGATGTTGCTAAATATTTTACATTGCACAAGCCAAACCCCCACAATAGTTATTCAACCCAAAATGCCATTAGTGCAAAACTTGAGAAATCCCGGAGTAGAGGAATGGGGACCGGGCAGCCAAGAATAGTAAGAGGAAATTGGTAGGTATAGCTCTCTGATTATGAGAAGCCCAGAATTTGGACAAAATATTAAAATAAGATGATGGCCTAGTGCAGCCATAGCTCTAGCCTTATGCAGTCTAGACCCACAACCCTAACATGCCTTTCTAAGATGTCAGTCTTTTCAATATTCCCCATGTCATGTATGAACTCAATGAATCCTGCCTAAGGTTTGCATGTTTTTGCACCTCTCTTATTTGCTTATGTTGCCTCTATGGAAAACATGGCCTCTTTGGTCCAGTCTCCAGGTAGGGATTCTGTCAGAGAAACAGGCAATCAAAGGTGAATTTAAAGTGATCTAACAACTTCTGTTCTTTAACTGTCAAAGCATGGTAAAGGGGATGTGTCATCTCTAGCAATACTTCCAGAAATCCCAATTTTTTCCCCCATCTACTTTGATGTTGCTAACGTGTCTCTTCCAAAATCTCCTCAAAACTCCCACTGGTAAAACCCCTCCCCGAACCCAAGCCCATCTCTTCTACCTATTCTCTGTCTTTTGATTGTGTGTCATGAAAACCCAAATAACCCGCCAGCAATAGTTGAACCCTCATCGTGGGGCAGGTGAGAGGTTGTGACTGAAGGGGCAAAACCAGCATTCTCTTTATCCAAGGGGAGGAGGGGAAAGGGTAGCAAATACCCATGTCAATAGATTTGGCTCTGCCATAATTATTTTATAATAATTTGTGAAGATAATTGTGAAAAAAAGATTTTATAATCCCATTTTGCTAAGGATAAAACCAAGGGTTAATTCTGTGTTCCCTCAAATAACAGGCTGCATAAGATATGCCTGGGATATTTCTCAGGGATATCTTAGATGTTGGAGTTACAATCTTTATAAAATCATCTCTAGTACTGGGGCTGTTCACTGATAAGTGAGGAGAACCCCTGTTTTTAACATCCAGGATGTACACCTTCTAGTTCCTTAAATGTTGATGAACACATCCCTCAGGGGAAGAAGGCAGAACAGAGAACATGGAGTAGGTCTTCATCTCCCACCAGATTCTAATTCTTCTCATTTGCTGATAACATTGTTATTATCAATAGTTAACATTCATTAAGGCCTCACTGTTTTCATGGTACTATAATAGGGTTTTTATATTAATCATTTTATCCTCAAAACAAACTTATGAGGTGAGTACCCTTAGTACAATTTTACAAAAGGAAAACTGGCATCCTATAAGGCTAGGTAAGCTGCCCAACTAAATTGCTAGTGAGTAACAGAGTTGGGATTTGAACCCAACGTTTTCTGAGTCTAGAGCTCTTGCTTTTAATTTTTCTTACTCTGTTTTTGTAACTGACTTCAGCAACATAAAGAGCTGTTCCTGTGAACATAAGTCCCTTGCTAGCTTGTAATCATTGTTTTCTCTTATGACATATTTTTTTGTAGAGGGTAATCTGCGTAAATTTAGAAATATGTTAGGAACCCAGAAGCTTAAATGAAAATCTGAATGAATGTTATGAATTGATTTCATTAGCAAATTTTGTCAATGATCTCTTGGCTTAGGGAAGTATATAATATGACTTTCATTTCTATTGAATAAGAAATAGACTTAGCTCTCTTGAGCTAAGTCTGAAACATAGAGGCTGGACATGATCCAAATTATTTCATTGTATTGGAATGTCTTTATGTTGTATTAGACTGTGAGTATACGGACCACTGGCTGGAAGCTGGAATAGAGTTTTTGTTGTTTTCCCCTAAAGGTCTTCATTATGATTGGATTAGACCTACCTTTTCATAGTATAAATTATAGGGCTATATTTCACTGTGCTGAATACATCAGTATGAAGTTTTACATATACAATTGGCTGTGGCTTGTCCTTGCTTTTAGGAACAGTTATTTGATCTCTCCAGCTGTTGGAAGATAAAAAACACTCAGAACTCATTCAGATCCCAAACAATAACAGAACAAGAGTAGGACCCTTAAGATCTGTTCCTCTAACAGATGTGAAAATACAAGGACAAGGAGGAGGGGAGGGGCCTGATAGGTACCACCTGAACTCTTGGAACATAAATTGACCCTAATTTGAAGGAATTTTTTTTTTAACTTAAAAGAATGACTTTCATCATAACATAGAGTACATAAATTCTCTTTAGAATCCTACAATTGTTGAGGTAAAGTGCATAACAGCTTAAATACTGCCTTTTACAGTTGAGAAAACTAAGGCCCAAGATTGAATAATTTGCCTGGTTAGTAGCATATCCATTGCTAGAACTGAGCAATCATAAGTCATAGGATAATTCATTCTACCAAGATTCTTATCCTCAAATTTAAAGTAGTTCAGGAATAGCAGATCAACTCGTGGCCCAGAATCGAAGCTCTAAATATTCTAGGTGAAGAATGCTCAGAGAATAATAATGACAGTAAAGACCCTAAAAGTCATCTTTCTATCCCTGCATCCTTTGCACTCACCAAGTGTTACTGCAGAGCACCTCCACTCACACAGGAGCTGCCCGCTCATTTTCTTCAACTGATCTGGTGAACTTTGGGCCAATTTGATTTTATGTATCTCAGATTTCCTTCCTGAGAATTTGCAACATTGGAATGACCCAGAGTAAATCTAATTCCTCTTCCACATCTTAGTCATTCATATATTTGACCTTTTATCTGCAACCTTCCCCTTTTAAACAAGCTATACACCTCCAGCTTCTACAAATTCTGTGATAGGACATGTCATTCATTTTCCTTTGAATGACATCACTCATCTGTTGCCTATGCAAGAAATTTGGGAACATCTTTGACTTCTCTCTTTTGTTTGCATCCTACGTGAATCAACAGGTACAGTAAATTGCTCATCCTACATTGCTCTTTCCTCCAGTGGAAACTGCCTCTGTCTGTCACCCTTCTGAATCTCTGAGTTGCCTCAAGACTTCTGATACTGTCTACAGTCCACTGTTCCTTCAACACCAGATTTCACTGTTTTTCTTTACTAATTCTTTGAAAACTTTCATATGTGATTCTTTGGGGCAGAGAGAAAAAAAATCATTTAGATCTCTGAAAAATAGTACATATGTGCAGCATAAGTTTCCTTTGCCAGGTTTCTGTCTGAGCCTGTTTTGTACTTTGGCCTCAGAAGTGGAATATTGATGCTTGTAGGAGTGTTTGCTTTTTCTCTGGTAGGTATTGTTTTGAGGATGTTAAAGAAATGGCCAAAATCTTCCCTACATGTGTTCTTAAGAATATGGATTTTATCATAAAATCTTCAAACATACAGCCATGAGTTATATACACTACAGTCTGAGATGTGAACATTTTATCTCATTTTGTTCCCCATTTGCTTTCTATTCACTTAGGCCTTAAATCCCTCAGGGCAGGGGCCAGGCGCGGTGGCTCATGCCTGTAATCCCAGCACTTTGGGAGGCCGAGGCAGGTAGATCACGAGGTCAAGAGATTGAGACCATCCTGGTCAACATGATGAAACTCCGTCTCTACTAAAAATACAAAAAATCAGCTGGGCATTGTGGTGCGTGCCTGTAATCCCAGCTACTCAGGAGGCTGAGGCAGGAGAATTGCCTGAACCCAGGAGGCGGAGGTTGTGGTAAGCCGAGATCTCGCCATTGCACTCCAGCCTGGATAACAAGAGTGAAACTCCGTCTCAAAAAAAAAAACCCTCAGGGCAGTGCTGTAAGAAGGTAAATAACTGTAAGTCCTGGCTTTGAGAATCTGTTTCCAGGAACCATGCTAAATAGCAGTTATCTAAACATGTTCCTGCAATATTAATGTTGGCCACAAACCCTTTGGGAGCAGTTTTTTAAAAAATTACCATTTTTTGTTTGCCTGGTATCTAATTTCTTTTGATGTGTAAATTACTTTTCTTGCTATGGATTGGGTAATAGTTTAGGACAAGTTCATTTTGATCTTCAAAATTTAGTATTTCATTTAATATATTGCTTGACACAGATCTGCAAGAATCATCATAAGTATCTGTAGGAAGTGAGCCTCTGTTAAGCACATGTGTGACCTTGGGAGGCTGGCCTCATGGAAGGCAGCTCTGGCATCTTCCCAAACTGTCACTGAGTGCCAGTCTAAATGTGCTTTGATACAGGCAGGTCAAGGATTAATCCACTATGGCCTTTAAAAAATGATGCCTTATAGGCATTTGATAGACATTTGTTAGTTATATTGAGCATAACTTAACATTAATATGTTTATTATGACACAAAAACCCTATAATAATAGTTCAATTCAAGTCTGGAGGACTTGCATGTTTAAGTTTCTATGCTTAGTGGCACAAGGCAGAATAAAATGTGGTCCTTCCCTTTAGGAGCTTATAATTTTGTAGGGTTCAGAAGTGATGCCTGCAAATGAAGTAGAATGCTATAATAAAGACATAGGCCAGGCCGGTGCAGTGGCTCAGACCTGTAATCCCAGGTACTCGGGAGGCTGAGGCAGAAGAATCGTTTGAACCTGGGAGGCAGAGGTTGCAGTGAGCTGAGATCGCATCATTGCACTCCAGCCTAGGCAACAGAGCATGACTCCATCTGAAAAAAAAAAAAAAAAAAAAAAAAAGATATAGATCAGGTGATACCAGCAGGAGAGGAAGTAAGCATCACTGGTCAACTGAAGGAAAACCAAAGGAGGCCTCCAGCTGGCACATTATAGGCATTTAACAAATTGAATGAAGGAGAGACGGCCCTTGAGCTAGAACCTAAAACTGATGAAATTAAAAATATTTAATAATTGCATAGGCACTTTATTCAATTTTGTTATTTCAGTGTTTTAAAAAGCCAATAATTCCTAAGAATGTGAATGTTAAAACCGTAAGTTTTAACATTCTTAAAATGTATTTCTACTCTCAATTCTAGAGAATTCACAAATTATAAGGACCTGTGTTTTCTTTGAATAACCAGGAAAGGAAATATGATTATTCTTGGCATTTGTGAAATTCCAGATAAAGACATTAACAGGCCTTGCTTACCCTTCGCCCTAACCTGCAATGTACATTACTAAATTTTTGACCATTCAGAATGCCCTGTACTTTAATTGCTTTTATCCGTTTATCTGGAACTGGTCAGAAAAAAGAAAAAAAAATCAATAAACTATGTGCAGTTCTCTATAGGACCTTGATTTCTCCATTCCCTGGCATACCACATACATGGATAGGAGACATTATCATTTTGTTGTGACGAGAGAAACATATTTAGTTCAGACTCTTGCTCTTATCTTTTACTTTTACTTTATCATTTACTTCCTGAATGTTTCCATGGATGAGGGACCCACCCCGGAGTCAAACTGTGCCATTGTTTGCCTACTTGATTTATCAGTCATTCTTCCTTAGGTTGCTCTGGAGTCAAATTTTCTCTAGCTTGAATCCCTGTCTCTTACTATGCATACAAGGGGTATCATAGACTTTTCCATGGCAGCTCTGTGTTCCTGAATCAGATCTTCTCTAGGCTAACATCCTAAACACTGCCTACCTGCAATATGAAGTCATGACCAAGACCCAATAAGACGTGGGAGAGTATCCATTAGATTCAAGGAAGTTTAGTGCATTTTCAGGAACCTGTTAT